CTATCATTTATCAGCGAAGAGTAATAAGGGGGAGGAGAGGGGGGCTTAGTAGAGAGGGGGGCTTATTACCTTTCTTCCCCTGAAAAGGGCGGTGGGGGGAGGCTCATTTGAGATGGGCAGCTTAATAGAGGATGTACGGTATTATCTCCAGTACACTGTATAGTAATCCACTTTTTGATTTACAGGAGAGTCAGATCTCGACAAAATGTTCCAGTTGCCAAACACAACCTTTATTGGAGGTGAAACAGAGGTGCTGACGCTGAGGGAAATTGTTAAAAGGCTGGAGGTATTAATGCACTTTTTTCACAGTTAGTGACTATCATCTTATATCGTGTAAAAATGGAACCCCACTAGGCGAAGGCAGTGTGGCTGAAAGTTTAGAGCACTGGAATAATTATTGTAATGCAACGGCCGTGAATTCATCCCGCCCTAATGGCTAGCTGGATTTCTGGATTTTTAATTATTGTGCAAAGCTGTCAGTAAGGGTTGTAACTGATAATACCAGTCATGACTGAGCTCACTTGATGTTAAGTAGAAAGCTAACGGTGACACTTAAAAGTTTTGTGAGATGTTACGGGTGAATCTTCGTTTGTTACAGCTGCTTCAAAACATAAGGACAGCCCTGTTGTTACCCCTATAATGTCTTTTTTGGAAGTGGATAAATTGTCGTTTTCTGTATAGGAAGTCAGCTAAAGGCAATTATTGATAAATAATATAAGTACATGTCCATCAGTGATTCTGTGAACTCTGTGTCCTGCTTCCCTGACACTTAAAAATCCTCAATGATGCACAAAAATTCATGGCATGCGTCCCTTAGGATGCAAAGATCGATCAATGGATCTGAAGATGTTTTTGTAGAATATCCTGTTCATGTGATTTCTGTGGCTGTTGTTTAACAACGCCTAGTTCGTTTAGCATTCGTTGTGTTGTGCTTTATAAAAGAGTGTCTTTTATCTGTCTGGACACATTTTCAATTTAGGACTTAGTCCCGTGCCCAGCCAGGACTCACCATAACTATTTGTAACAAAATCACTGGTCCATGAAGGTGCTATGAATTCGCCTACTACTGTAAAGTGTATTTTAAATTTCTGACTTGTTTGGAACGTGGCTCAATCCCTTTAGACTGTGCACCATTCATCCAACAAAAAATTTTTTTCCTGTTCTTACAAAGAAACAAAGAAATAATGGTTCTTTTCTGCTCCTTTTTTGTGGATTTTCCTCCATAAAATGGTGTTATGATAGTATCGATAATACCAGTATAAAGGAAGAGTAAGATGTAGATTGCTATTAAAGTAATAATATTATTAATAATTAAAATGTTTGTCTGAAAAGTTGTAAAATTTGTTGTAATGACCTTTTTTCTTCTATTCATCATCATCATCATTAGAATGCTTACTGTGGACACATTGGACTGGATTATATGTTCATTCCAGAAAAATCAAAATGTAAGTAATAATCTATACCCAGAATCCACCAATAATATTCTGTCTTAAAAAACTTTTGTCTTACAAAACTCTGGTGCAACTACTCTTTGTTGGTTTGTTTTTATTAATTCTGACTTTTCTTTTCCTTTATTTTAATCTTTAAAAGGAATAAAATTATGAAAAGATATAAGAATTGTTATTTTTCTCTTCCTTTCTTACTCACTTGTGAATGATTTTCACATTAATTTGTGTGGGAAAAACTGGCATACAATGTCAACATTGCTTGTTTAAGCAAGCTTTCATTTTGGAAATTGCAAGAGTCATACAGCTGTGGGCCACCATGAGTTATCCTTAGCCTTTTGTGACTGCCAAATGGAGAGCTTTCTTGCAGACTGGACTGGTCTTGACCATATTCCAGAAGTCCCAGATGAATATTGGTCTTGACCATATTTTAAAAGTCCCAGATAAATGTTCTAAGAGGAGTATGTCTTCGAAACAAGAAATTGTTTAGCCTGAGAAAACAGCGTCCATTTCATGATTACTGGTGTCCCAGCAAAATAACATCTGAGAAACGAGTGCAGAAATTCCATACTGATAACAATGACACTACCCAGATCTGGGTTGTGCGCTTGATTGGTTAAAAAATTTGTTTCAACCAATCAGAAGCACTACCCAGATCTGGGCAGGTACATGTCATCAGCATAGAGGTTCTACACTCATTTCTCAGACGTCATTTCACTGGGACACCAGTAATGGCATCATAAAATGGCCGCTGTTTTCGTGGGGAAACCAGAGAGGTGGTGACACAAAAATGTCAGCTGTTTTTACAGGCTATAAATTGTAATTTCCCTAGCTATTTTTATTTTCCCATTTTGTAACATAATATTTTTTAAAAATATGACAGCCTTGCTGTCATGTGATTTACTTTAGGAACAAAGGAATACACTTGAAGTCCTAATTAACTTGTTTGATGGACTTGTCCTTTTTGTCAAGGTGACTGGATCAGAAAAAGGTTTGAAACTCCGGGAATCATTTCACTGGATGTGGAGGACAAAAAAACACTGCTTAAAAGGCTTATCCGCTCACAAGGGTATGAAATTGTGTCAAGAAACTGTTTTCACTTACAGTGTGCATGGAATTTAAAAAAAAAACAGTACATGTACCAAACAGCCCCATCTTCCTCACTTTACTGCAAGCTTGAAATAGTATGGGCGTCTTTGATGCAGACAATTTTGTCTTAGCTCTCGTTGATAAGGAATATTTTGCATGGTTATAATTATCATTAAGCTTTTGTGTGTATTTAGGGGAAGTATTTCAAGGTGTAATCAAGTAAATAGTGGCAAAGTTTATTATCCGTGGCGTCAAATTTTAGCCACTGAATCAGGCAAGGCACTGTGAATGAGACAACCCAACAAGGGCTCATATTGGATTGCCGAGTGTGGAGTGCATAAATGATGGCGAACAAGGCACCTGCCCAGTTTTTCCTTTGCATTCCTTTTTTTCTCTAAACATACCACATGATAGGTTTGAGGCATTTCTGGCTAAGAAATGGAGCTCTGAGAAGCGTTTTGGCCTTGAGGGTTGTGAAGTGTTAATTCCAGCAATGAAGACAATCATTGACAAATCCAGTGAATTTGGAGTAGAGAGTATCATAATGGGAATGCCGCACAGGGGAAGACTGAACGTTCTCGCAAACGTGTGTCGCAAATCACTAGAACAACTCTTTACTCAGTTTGACTCAACTTTGGAAGCATCAGATGAGGTATGCAAAAAACATCATGGTTAACCCTTCACTCCTAGAGGTTTTTCCAAAAAAATGTTGTTTGAAGTTTCTGGTCATCGTCGCCCAGTGGTGCTTAACAATCATGTTTAGCTCTTAAGAATTACCGTGAAATTCCGAAAATAAGCCCCAGGGCTTATATTTTTCAAAGGCCCTTTTGGAGGGGCTCATTTTTGGAGGGGCTTATATACGGAGGGATATTTGCGTTTCAAAATCGATTGGGCTAGCCTCATAGTTGGAAATAAATGTACCATTTTAGCTTTGTTTTACTTTGTATTTGAGGGCAATTTTCCAAGTACAAGCCCCCGGGGGGCTTATATATGGAGGGGCGATTTAACGGAGGTTTTTTTGCATTACCGGTTTGGGGGGCTTATATTTGGAGGGGCTTATACATGGAGGGGCTTATTTTGGGAATTTTACGGTGTGTTAACCCTAAACTCCCAATATCCACATACAACTTCTCCAGACTGATCTTCATACATTTACTTAAAAACTTAGTGGAGAGAATTTGATAAAAGATCAAAGAATTTTGCCTTAATTGATCATGTTATTAATTCTGATGGCCTTTTCCCTTGATTGCATATCAGTGATTTTGTTACCTCTAGGTCCTGCGTCCCTGATGCATAGAAATCCCCAAAGACGCAAAATTGTAGCTGTCAATTTTGGTCCTGCAATTACATGTATCTTAGTAGATACAAGCTTTTGTTGCAGTGAAAGATTTTTTGTTTTTCAATAGGGATCAGGAGATGTGAAATATCATCTAGGAATGTCACATGAGCGCCTGAACAGAGCAACCAACAAAATTGTGCGCTTGGCTGTTGTTGCAAACCCCTCTCACTTGGAAGGTTTACCATGTCATTTCTCTTTCATAACACTCTATGTTTAGGGACGGCCTGTCTTCCCAAATGATTAACGCTCATCTGCTGGGTTTTAGGATTCCTTGAAAAGTCCTTGAGTTCTTTCTTTCGGGTGTACTTAAGTGTTATACTTAGTGTTGTCTTCTAAAAAAATGGGATTATCTTCAGAAAGAACTGCAGTGCCAGATCCAGACCTTGAGATAAGGGAAGGGCAGTCATCCAGATCCTGAGATAAGGGGGTGTGGGGAGGGGGGGCGGCGGTCTGCCAAAATTTTTTTTATCCATCACTGAATTGTGCCCGGGTTTGTATCATTACCAGAAGTAAAACTGAGTTCAGACATGCTCTCCATTCGTCATCTGCTTGACAATTTGTGTTTGATATCATTAGCTGTGGATCCTGTTGTTGAAGGGAAGACCAGATCAGAGCAATTCTACAGGGGAGACTCTCAAGGGAAGAAGGTGCTATTGATTAAGCCAACGAACTAAGGCTGTGTATTATTTGTAAAAAGTTATTGTCATTTTAACAGTGTTCATTTTGAGTTGTGCTTCTGCAAAGTTCATCCATTTTATTGTGTATTGTGCAAAAAATTATTCAGCTGCAGCTGTAGGGACATGTTGCATGTCACAAGTTCTCACTAACTTGGTACACAGGGTATGCATGTAAAAATAAATCATTTGTAATTTATCACTAATTATAAAGTAATTTAACTTTTAATATTTTCTATAAATATTTAAATTACTTTATTGTATGCTGTTCTTTATTTATGTAAGTGTATATTTAATTATTAATCACTATAGTAAAAACTTAATCTAATGTGAAGAGGAAGTCTCACCTATAAGCCTTCATGGCTTCTTGAGACTTCCTTGCCTTTTGAGATTCTTTTCTTTCGAATTATGTATATTACGTGTAATTTAAAGTTTTTTGTTTTCCCTTCATTTATATGTAAAAAGGCAAAAAATCAATAAACATAAACAGTAAACATAAACACGTGTACCTTCTAAAATGAGATTTGAAGCCATCATCGACAGATGAGTGTGGGAAGTTGCCTGGTCAAACAAAAAGAGCCATGTAAGGAAGTGTGGAAGATAACCATGACAGCCATGCCAGCCGCAAACTCCAGGCAGGTTTCCCATTGTCATCTATTACCAATTTATTCACTCTGACAATGTATTTATATGCAAAGGTGATGAGCGTTCTTATCCATGGTGATGCAGCATTTTCTGGCCAAGGTGTTGTATATGAGACATTCCATTTAAGTGCGTTGCCGCAGTATACCACACATGGCACCATCCATATTGTTGTTAACAATCAGGTGAGATACATGTGTTATTGACCAAGCTTGAGGTCCAGATGGCTGGATATTGGCCGAGTTCTTCAACTTGAGGACAATGAAAATGCAAAAAAGAATGAAGCCAATATTCAGCCATCTTTACCAAACAAGGTTGGTCAATAATGGATTTATTACATGGCCAAAAAGAGAACTTTTACCTGCTGGACCAACATGGGAAATCCTGAGCCAGATAGATAGGCCTATCTGGCTCACTCGGGTAGCCAATCAGAATGCAGGTTTCATTTCATCTTGCCTGCTCACGAATTCAGCCATATAATAAACACACATAGTATTTTTTGAAAGAAGTTGCTTGTGTATGTTTGGTTTTCTGCCTATTTTCCCCTGCCTGTTTACTAGGCAGTAGACTTAAACTCAGGACGTCTTGTTTTTTTGCCCAGGTTCTGGATTCATCAAGCATCCTTAGGTTAAGATAATCCTCAGTATTGCTTGTTATAAAAAAGGTTTCATCAAGAACCAATACATAGAATGCTTATTCCAGGTATAAATCAGTTGCCAGTATATGTTCTAACTGGTCAATAATATAAAATGGCAAGATCAAGTTAGCTGTTTGAAGCACTCTGTTGTAATTTCTCCTGGCAAGGAGGGGACACATCAAGGGTTCAAGGCCCACTTGAGGAAGTGATTGACTTATTATTTTTATTAATTTCTCTCTCCTTAGATTGGCTTTACAACTGACCCAAGAGTGGCCCGCTCTTCTCCTTATTGTACAGATGTTGCTAAGGTTTGTCATGATTGTTGCTAAAAAAAAAAGTACACACATGAAATTATCTCATTATGTCATTTTTTTAGGACTGCAACAGTTCCTTTACACTGCAGTGAGTGTGATCTGCCATTTTAACCTATCTTCAGGACTTCAGCTTCTAAGTGGACTTTGAATGAGTAGTGTAGCAGGGGCTTCTCTCTCAGCTCTGTTGTTCCCTTTCATGGCTCAAAGAGGGAAGCGTACACACACATATGCACGTTGTTTTGCTAGGCTCTTGTTCCGATTCATGGTTCAAGTAACAAGCATATACATGTGTGGTGTTCTTGTTTCGCAGCTCGTTGTCTCGTTTCATGGATTAAGGAACAAAGCATAATTTATAATAGTGTATTGTCAGTGTCCTTGTTTCGCGTGTAGCGTGCTTGTTTCGCAGGACTCTCGTCCCGTTTCTTGGCTTTAGCGTGCCAGTCTCGAATTAGGGCCCGGGGAACTCAGGGCTTTAAGAACGAGTTATCTTACGCACGAGAAAACTTAACACAGAAAAACCTGTTTTTAGTAGACACAAGCAGAACTAAATTCCAAACCTACAAATGGAAATAATTTCTAAAAAAATGTTACGTACAAAAATAGTCATGTATTGCCCTTCAGAATGACAAAAACACCACAGATCATTATACTCTGTAATCAGTCAAAGTAATCCTCAGTTCAGATCATTTCGTCAATTATATGGTCCATGGTTTTACCACGGAAAGGCGTTTTGATCACAGACACTTAGTTTGCCAGCGTCGGAACCAAGGCAAAACATACCTAAATAACCACTTGAATGAATTTGTTTCTTGTGGTTTGTTCAATGGTTTCTTTTTTCATCAGGTTGTAGATGCGCCTATTTTTCATGTAAACGCTGATGATCCAGAAGCTGTTATGCATGTCTGCAAAGTTGCAGCAGAATGGCGAGCTGAGTTTGGCAAAGATGTCGTCATTGACTTGGTATAGAGTGTTTTTGTTTTAGTTTTGAATGAACTCGCTGAAGTGGGAAGACAACTGTCAGTTTTTCATTTTGTGTTGTTAGATTCGCCCGTACTTGCCAGGGTCATCACAACAGCATGATGACAATTACGCGCGGTTTGATCTTCCATCATGTAAAACTTACGCAAAGCACAGCGTTGAAGCAAGAGCGTTGTGACCTTCCGTTGATCTTACTCGCACTCCCTAACCTTTAACTAGTTATCACTAGTATAATTTTTATTTACTATTATTAAAAACTGAATCATTGGATAATCCAGTTCTAGAGCTCTGATTGGCTTAGCCATCATGGTATATGAGCCATTATACCATGCTTTCCAAATATGGTAACTGTACGCGTCCGCTCAAAATTAAAAATAAGCCGAAAATCGGTTGTTTTTACGAATGAAGCCGGGAAGAATTCTCGATATTTTTCGGGCGTTTTTAATAAAACGATTATTCCACTCGCGCTTGTTGGATATGATATGATTATAGCCAACTGATATCAAACACGCACTCGTGGAATAATTGTTAAAATCTTGTTAAATATAGAACAGTGCTTACAGGTTTAGTCGGTAAGCTCTTATGTTGAACGATTTTAAGAACCTACTTCATTCTAATAATACACTATATAGATATGGTTTTTAACACTAATTTCCTTGTATGTGTGCCTCATTTTAGGTTTGTTATCGTCGCCATGGTCACAATGAAGGCGATAATCCAATGTTTACCCAACCAATCATGTATAAAAACATTCAAAAACAGGAAGCTGTTACAGATATGTATGCTAAGAAACTTCTGCAGGAGGGCGTGGTCAATGAGGAGTGGATTCAGGTTTGTACCCCTAACAAGTTGCTGTTACTAATTCTGAAAAGTCACACCACAGGATTTCGTTGGCGGACTCAAAAGTTAGAACTACCTTCCAAAGAAAGAAAGTGCTGCTAAAGAGGTTTCATTTGAATGCACCCTTGGAGCGAGGAGGAGAAAAGGAGGTTCTACCTTAATCTGATACAAGCCTTTGAGGTCGCCGCAGCCCGAACTCGTGGACTAGTCAATCTTAATTGCTCTCGTCGTACTGGTTTTTATTAGTGCGAGCATCCGTTTAGTGATAAACCCATGGTCATCACCAAAGCGCACGGATATTAGGCCTGGGTTGGAAACTGTATGAGCCATGCACCATCCCGTACATGCTTAAGAAAGATCAAACTCGTTTCATGCGGTCTTGCTTAAGTACGCCAAAATCGATCAAGCAAATGAAACGCTTTGCTGGCAGCATCATTTGAATGGTTAAACCACAGGATTTCATGCACAGACTTAAAAGTTAGCTGCTCAATAGAGATTCGTCATAAATAACATAATCTTTAGCAGAAACATCACTGTATTTTGAAACAAACACGCGACGGGAGCAGCATTACTAGTCCACAATCGATCGTCACCTACTATCTCGTACTGTATTTCCCTTCATCTTATTCTTGAAATATAGCCAAACTAAGTGTATCAAGCCCTTGATGGCCGCTTAACTGGAGGTGACACTACAATGGGAGAACTCTTGTTTGGACGGCCAAAAGGTGGCCGCGGCCGCTTGATAGAGGTGGCGCTTGATAGAGTAGTAATTGACCATTGTTTTCTACAATTATTTCGGGACTTTGATTACTTACCACGTAATGGAGGGTGGCCGTTTAAAAGATGGCCGCTTAATGGAGGTGCAACTTTACTTAGTATACATTTCGTGATTGTTTTTCCTTTTTGCCTTGGTTATTCATTAGGAGGAGAAAATCAACTATGAGAAGATTTGCGAAGAAGCGTTACGTGAAGCAAAGTCTGACAAGAGGGTTTTGTTGAACAAAGATTGGCTGGACTCACCCTGGAAAGGCTTCTTCAAGAAGGGATACACACCTTCTTTGCCTGTCAGACCAACCGGAATTCCCCTCGATACGCTAAAACACATTGGGAAAGTGTTTAGTACTCCACCTGGTGGAGATTTCAAAATTCATGGAGGTAAAAAGGACCTTTTCAATTCGGCGACAAAATTAGTCGAGACACCTTGCCCTTAAGAGCTTCTCTAACAGTTTGCCAACTTGAAAAAGATCCCCATCTCCTCCATGAAATGTTGTGCCGCTTTTCGAGCTACCTGTAGAAAACTGCAAACACCCCAACTTTGAATGGAGGGGAGAGGAGGGGTTTTGATTGTTGTGATCTCCGAAGGTACCCCATTTGAGTACAGTGTCTCGACAATTTTGTTAGACTTGCTCACAAGTCAATTTTTTGGACCGGCAAGTCGCGGAAATGAGCAGCAAAAAATTTTCCTCCCTTCCCTCCGACTGTCGACCCCATGAAAAGGGACTTTTTAGTCTAACTACAGACATGAATACACGATTCCTTATTCCATATTTCCTTTGTTTTACGTTGAGGAGAAGGAACTAAGAATTAATCATCGTGTACAATCAAAGTAGAATATTTATTGATTATTACAATGTTCGCAGGAAAATAGAAGGGCTGCCAGGTTCGCGATTAAGTTTATTGATTGACATTGAGTACCAAGGACGGACGATGGCACTGGTGAAGATTGCCAAGCTTTAGTACAAGTAGATAAAGATGAAAACGACGTCGTCACTTTTAATTCGTGGTTTTGTAAACTAAAAATTTAAAACATCTTGTGGCTCTAGGGCCCTTTTATGCTTGAAACTCTATTGCTAATGTTGAATCACCCAATCAGGGCTTCGTCGAATCCTGAAGGCTCGTCATGACTTAATGGAGAAAGGTTATGTTGACTGGGCGATGGGTGAAGCTTTAGCATTTGGCTCTCTTCTTATGGAAGGAGTGCATGTGAGACTGAGCGGACAAGATGTGGAGAGAGGAACTTTCAGGTAAAAATAGACATTTACAGCGATGTTGCTGCCTTGTGGTTTTAGAGCCCACGAACGGTAGCCTGTAATTCCACCCAGCCATTATTGCTTGCTTTAACCACATATCAATACTTATGCAAAAGCTAAGGAGGTGTTTAGTGTTATAGCTTGTCTTATATTCTCGACATGAACCGTTTTTAGTATTAGTAATGTTTATCTGTTGGAAAAAGAAAAGAGGGCTCTTAGCCTACCTTATCTTATGAAGACAGGATGCAAAGCAAGCGTGGCCAAGCAAACAGGGCTCAGGAATTTTAGTCTGGAGTTCCGGAGTGGAGCTCCGATCCTGTCTTGCCTGCAAGACGTATTGATAACTTGTTAGTCCCCAGTTACGCTTGTAAAACAGCCGAGTGGTTTGTCTCCTGTGGGATTTGGGATTCTTAATCTTCTTTTTTACGTCTGAATACGATAAAGGCTGATGGTTGCCTTGTGTTTGCTTCCAGTCATCGTCATCATATTCTCCACGACCAAGATAAGGACAAAGTAACATATTGCCCCCTGAATGACCTCAGTCCTGATCAAGCCATATACACTGTTTGTAACAGCTCATTGTCAGAGTATGCTGTGCTAGGTGAGATTAGCGGTATTCATGTCAGTCTGTTGAGTTCCCCTCTCGAATAAATTCCCTGAGCAATGGCAAGCCATTGTCCAATACATTCCTACTCCTTGACCAAATTACCAACGATTCAGAAAGCAAGTAAGAATTTGAAAGAAGTAGATGGCTGGGAATGAATCGAAATAGTGGCTCGGTCGAGCTATCTGGTAAGCGCTTTTGGAAAACAGCATTTCTTTTTCCGGTTCTAGAAATGGACAGCGCTATCTTCCACATAACTCACTAATTAGCGGACAAGTATTAGCCTGAAACCAATTGTTTTATCCACTGGACAAAGATTTACTTATATAACCGTAAGCTCAACACATACCTTGGCAAATAATGTCACACATTCATCTTGAATCTGCATTTGACATTTTCAGGTTTTGAGTTGGGCTTCAGTATGACCAATCCATTTGCTCTCGTTTGCTGGGAAGCTCAGTTTGGGGACTTTAACAACACCGCACAGGTATAACAGCATGGTTTCCATATGGAAAATAGCTGGAAAAAGTCCAGCGATCATCTTGTGGAATCCATCCTTAAATAGATCAGAAGTAGTCATTGCAACAATTTACAACCGTCGTAGCGGTCCTAATCATCAAATAGAACCAGGCGTAAAGAACCACAGGGAACTGACATGTGTCAAACAACTTAAATTTTTGTTGTTGGCCTCGGAATAATTTGCAAACAATCTTGCTGCAAGCTTTTAACCAGTCGGAAGCAAATCACTTGCGACGCGATGTCATCGGCTATTTTGCGTGCCTTAAGCTTTTTCTGGTTAATTTTAGTGACTGTTAACACTGCAAGACCAGAGTACAAGTTATATTTTTGGGGGTTGTTTTGCGACACTTTCTGCATTAAACTCACTTTTGAAAGGAGCAAATCCATTATAAATTTAAGCTTAGAATAATGAATTGTGGTTGACTGCTTTGACTGATAGCACTGTGGCGTTCTTAATTTACGCGGCTCTGTCCTCTCTAATTATTTCTGTATTTATTCCGTTGAACAGTGCATCATAGACCAGTTTGTCAGCAGTGGACAGGACAAGTGGGTCAGACAAAGCGGACTGGTTATGATGTTACCGCATGGCTATGAAGGAATGGTATGCAAATACTTTTTAACCCATTGCTAATGAGATAAGGTTCCTGTTTGGATCTTCACATTTTCACCCACAAAATCCCATTATTAAGTGTCGAAAATTGAAATTGTTTGTGTCATTATCGTTGGTTTTTGTACAGGTTATGCTGTAGCCCAGGTGACAGGCCCGAGAACAGGGCGCGAGGAAACAGGGAAGGGTACTTCTCTCACCCCCGCCCATACTTAAGGTTATTGTAAAACACGCAACAAAAACGTGCAACTTGTTTCGCAGCATTACTGCAAACGAGTTGAGTAGCGATGTGGCGCGTTCTACAATCCACGAATTAACCTGTATTGCAACAAGTCAGGTTGTTGCAGGTTGCGAAAAGTTGTTTCAGAAAGCAGAAAGTAGTTCCCCTTTATAGCAAAATCTGTGCACGTTCCTCATTTTACCGACCCAAGGTTAACTTGTCTTGCAGCAAGTGACGTCATCCCCTGGATGGCGTGACTGCCTCGCAATTTTATCCAATCAACTGTTAGTATTCACGCGACTTGCAACAAGCTGATTTGATGCTAGACAGGTTTGAACGTGATGATAAAACGCGCGGTAAATTTGCAAAACAAGTTTTTGCTGCCCGTTTCACCGTAGCTTTACCACACCCTGCCAAACTGGCTACACTTACTGTCGCTATGTTGCTATTTTAACGGATTGTTGCTCAATTACAGGGGCCAGAACATTCAAGTGCTAGACCAGAAAGGTTTCTACAGATGAGCAATGACAATCCTGATGTCTTTCCTGTAAGTTATTTTCGAACTTCCAATCCTGCTCCATTATTTAGACACCCGTTAATTGACGCTCATAAGCCCTCCACATCTTATAAGCCATCCCAGCTACAGATCCATCTGCCTGTAAACAAAAAATACTTCTGACTAAAAGCCCCCCACCTCACCCCCCGCTCCCAATATAAGCCCCCTCCAAATTTTCTCCAAATTTAAATCCAGTACAATACAAAACGTACTGTGAACATCACTGCTCTAGCTTGTTTCGAAGCGCTTTTTATTAGTCCTGTTGTAAGCCCCCTCGGATACAAGTTCCTCCGTTTATAATCCTTAAGAGTGATCAGCATGAAATTTCTCCCTATAATATCAGGGCTTTAGAAAACAGGGTGGTCATGAGAACTGAGTACATGATCAGGGAAGATGAGTCTCATTGATATTTCAACAAATTTTCCCCACTACTTCCATTGAAAAAGTGTAGGGACGGTAAATGAGAATCTCAATTTTGATATATAGGGTTTAAAGGGTTAACCATTCATGGAGATGTATAAAACCAGGGCTTATAAGGGCGCAAATTACGGTACCCTTTTGTTCAATTTTCCTGACAAGTGTTTTGTTTTCCTCTAGACTCTTGATGAGTTGTTTGAAGTTAACCAGCTATACTCCACTAACTGGCAGGTCAGTAAATAACAAGAGACCTTTTTACCGATACGGCGGCCATATTGAATTACCTAGTTTTCCTAGAAAAAGATTGTAGTGGGAAAAAAAGATCGTTGTGCCGTGTCTGGATCTAATAATGATCGCCTTTTTCCCTAGAAATATACAGTGACGCTCTCTTTTTCCCCGAAATGTGTAAATGTAAATGTAAATGTAAATATCATATTATCCTCCCCACGGGGCTTTTCAGGGATAATTTACAACACTAGTTGGGGGACTTTACCAGACTGCTTACGGTGCAGTTTACAAGTAATGAAAGAATGAGTATAAACTGTAACGATGCCCCCATACATGAGTGTGAAAGTGAGACAGACCATTTGAACCTCAGTGGCTAATTTTTTTTCAATGTTTTTTTGCCTTTTTCTCGACCCTCTCTGACTGAATCGTGCTCATTCTGGCATAGATCTCTTCACCATGCACAAGTTAGACGACAAAGTTGTCCTTGACCGTCAAAATTGAAAACGTCAGTCACAAGCTATAGAAAGGAGGTGGATCCGCACGGGAGGAGACGGATGGTTCAGGGGCGAATGGGTTAATATTTTTTCCAGGGGTGGACATGTATTGAACTTCTGTGGCTTTTAAATTCATAGGTTGTCAACTGCAGCACACCAGCAAATTTCTTCCACATTTTACGCCGTCAGATCGCATTGAACTTCCGTAAACCTGTAAGTTTTGGCAGTTAGTTTTGTTTTTGTTCTTGTTTTTCTGAGTGTTGCTTAGAGTCAGCCGAACGCAAACAAGCTGATGATTTATATTCCTACTGACACAACATAACTGGTTTACGGCCATATTTTGCAAAAGACAGGCCACTTTACAGGAGAAAGACGAAAACTGGACCTATAAATGGTTGAAATGTACATCACTGACCGCTTAAAATTTTTGCATGTTTATCTTAGCTCGTCCTTTTGACACCCAAGAGTCTTCTTCGATTGGAAGCCGCTAGATCTCATGTTGATGAAATGGAGGAAGGTAGGGAGTTTTCATTTGATTTAAACTTACCAATAAAATATTCACAATATCGTGTTGCCTTCAACAAATCACCTGGTGTCAAACCGAAATTTCCGATCGATATCGATCGTCCTTCTTTCATTCGACCTGATGCAACGTAAGTGAACTAACTTTCAACAGTTTTGACATAAGGTGGTTGTTTTTAGAAGCTAGTTAAGGTGAAGTTTCACAAGGAATAATTATTTGCAACTTTGAACTCAATTTGCCTCAAGAAAAGCGCAGCGACACTTCTAAGTAGCCGGAGTGGATGTAATTCACATCACAAGTCGTTGTTCTCAATTCACAGGCACTTCTTTCAGACGTGTGATTCCTGACTCTGGTCCTGCGTCAAACAATCCTGAAAAAGTCCGCAAGCTCCTTCTTTGTACCGGCAAGATCTACTATGAATTGTTAAAGGTGAGGTGAAACTAAGATTCTTGACTTGTGGTTTTTCGTTTTGAGACACTTTCTTGCTAATTATGAGTTAAACCCTTTAAGAGTGATCAGCATGAAATTTCTCCTTATTATGTTAATGCTTTAGAAAACAGAGTGGTCATGAGAAGTGAGTACATGATCAGGGAAGATAAGTCTAATTGATATTTTAACAAATTCTCCCCACTATTTTTATTGAAAAAGTATAGGGACAGGAAATGAGAATTACAATTTTGATATTAGGGTTTAAAGGGTTAAACAAAGGCTTTTTTGAGTGGCGCACGTCGACCGGAATTGAGGCGTTTTCCCTACTGTCTTTGCTCTTATAGAGACGATTTGCCCATAAACTTAGGCGAAACCACAGCCGAATATTGCAAAAAGTCCACTTCCGGTTGACTTGCTTCTGGTTGATTTGGTTTGGTGACGTCACTTCCGGAATTCCCCGAAGAAAAGCCTGTCAAATACTTCAACGTTTTTGATACTTGAGTGTTTGTTGAGCCGGCAGTTAGTGGTCTTGTAGTGTGTGGCTCCAGCGTGACCTTCAACACGAATTTTTAGGGTAGAAATGTGTTCAAGTAATAATATTAACCAAAAAATCGCAAAGTTATCTACGCATCATAAAGGTGCCAAAACCAAAACTTTGGGCAATGTTGTTCATTGCCTTGTGTAGGCAAAATCCTCCGCATCTTCGGTTGTTCTTTATGTCTGTTTTTAATATCAGGAACGTAACAAGAGAGGACTCGAGGAAGACATAGCCATAACTCGCGTTGAGCAGGTAACTTAGAGTATTTTTCCAAGTTACTATGGGATTGACTGCTCTGAAATTTTTCAAAGGGCAGGTTCATTTCTATACCGATATACAGTAGAAGGCTGATTTCATGAACCTTCGTTCCAGCTTTCATAACCATTCTCCTCTAATTACTATGCTGGGGGCCGTTTCTCGAATGTCTAGTAACCTTTTAGGCCCTAAGGCGAGGCAAAACCTATCGCATGGTAGCACGGTTCCTAGCTCACAAACCATTCAATTTTGTTTTGTTAACTGATGGTATCATTGTATAATTTTAAAAACTACTAAAACGTTGATTTTAAATGTAAACACGGAAATATAAAACGGCTTTCCGGGCCTGAAAAGTTACCGGAACGTTCGAGAAACAGACCCCTGGAACCAAAACTGCATTCCCTTCCCTGGTCAAAGACTGTTTATTCCCCCCTACCCCCACGATTTTGCGAACCTCCGGATTCCACTGTAAGTTGTGTATCTTTAGGTTTTTACCTACCACAATGTCAAAGTCTTGGTATATTGTCGTGTGTCTTTCTGTCTCTCTTTTTGCCTGTCTATGTGTCTGTCATTCCCTATTTTTAATACTGACCGCTGTTGTTTTTATTACAGATAAGCCCTTTTCCCTTTGACTTGATAAACGCTGAGTACCAAAAGTACGACAATGCAGACATTGTGTGGGCGCAGGAAGAGCCCATGAACATGGGATATTGGACTTATGTCAGTCCTCGACTTGTGACGGCTGTTGGAAACAAGCCTAAGATCAGGTTTGTAAAAGTCAACATTCTTGAACCCTCTCGGCTTCTGGTTTTTCTCTTAGGCTGCACAATCGTGCAGTGTACACAGGACTGAACAGACTGTAGCGAAAGTGAAAAGAGACTTCAAGATGCCACGACGCTGATGACTACGAGAACTTCAAAACAACAGTTGTTTGAATAAGCCAAACAACAACTCTGCACGTGCATAACGCTTTTTTGTACATTTCTTTGCCGTCACTGCATGCACGACTACGACAGAAAAATGCCTAATTTCACGTTTGGTGGAGGACGTAAACAAGCGACGGCTAAATTTTCTTTCTGAACTTGAATATGGTTCTTAGGAGTTCGGCTCAAAAAGAATTCGCTTGCATTTGACGAAGTTAATGAGTTGGAGAAATCGCAATGAGATTGAAAGAAGGCAAATTCACTTTTTAAGCGACGTTTTCGTGGCCGTCGCCGTCGTGGTATCTTAAACTCCCTAATAAGTAGGATAGAAGACTGAAACCTACCCGAGACGAAAGTTAATATTCAGGAGTGAGGATTGGGATTTAGAGAAACAAACCTTGTCGGCTAACCGCTCCGGCACGATGTGTGTGAACGACTTGTTCCAGTTTAATGCCGTTATTGTTCATACTATAGCGGATAATGGAGTGTTTTCACTCACGTGGCCAACATCTATGCAAGAGAAAGCGTTTGCATAAGAAAAGAGTTCAACTCCCACAGGATTGGTTTGGGACACCAACATGGCCGCCGTTTCATTGTTTGGGACACCAATATGGCCGCCGTGACGTCATGTGAAAACATTGTTTTGCGTAAACTTAGACTTAGAAATACAAATGCTTTATTGCGCGGTTCGTGAATCTGTAAGGGAAAAAATGATCCCATCATACTTCGCCTTGTGATTACAGCGGAATACAGACCGCTAAATTGACCATGTCCAGTGCACTTGAAAGACTTGCAAAATACTTTTTTTGTATTCATTATGCCACAGAACAAATGCGCTAGTGAGGGATGCCATTTTGATTTTCCTTCCCCTGGCTGATTAAAAGGAGTTTTATAAACTAAATTGTTTGAAAGTGCCCCTTTGAGTTCTTGTAATTGCCACGCGCTTTCTTAATATCTTTATTCACATTTCCCACATTTTCTCTTCATTTCATTTTTTACAGCTATGCTGGTCGCTCGCCATCGGCGTCAACTGCAACAGGGAACAAACATCACCACGTCTCCGAACAGGAGGATTTAATCAACAAAGCTCTGGAATAATTCTTCAAGTTTTATAAAAACTCATTATTGGACTGTTTAACCCAAAGACTGAGAAGACTTTCTGGTTCACAAAGTGAAAATGATTATTACATCATTTCCTTAGGTATTTTTTTTTCTTCGAGCTTTCAAACGTACGTATTAGGACTTGCGCGCAAGATCCTGAATAACAGATGCATCAGTATTGAACTGTGAAATACAAAGATGAGAAACTGCATTTATTCACAAGACAGCATAAAAAGCTGATTACCTTATATCATTTTTTTGCTCCAACACATACAGTGTATGCACAAGATTGGTTTACGGGACCACATCAAGGAAACTACAATTGGAATATTTGGTTTATGTTAAAGCGGGCACCGGACAACTGTGTTATTAATTGCGTGTTTTCTTTTTCTACCCAACTGAACCGTTTTGAACTGGGGTAGACCAAGAATCAAATTAGACTTGAGATTAGAAAAATATTTTTAAAATAGTGGAACGGTACGCATGACATGCACTAGATGAATATTAATAAAACAATACTCAATTTCTTCGTACTGTTTGTGTCAGTGGCATTCCTTTTTTGTGTTAACAGTTTCGATAAAAACTGTAAAACACCTATGCAGTCATGTAGTGTCCGTAAGTTAGAAAAGTGATAATTCTGAAGGCCAGATACAAAATACTGTATGATTCAGTTCACAAACAAGGAGAGTCTATTACTCTCTAGTGGTTGCTTGTCATTATTTCTAGTCAAAAGAAATTTTGCAATGGTCATCGGCGTGCTACATGTCATGTAGAAACGTCACGTAAATATTTTTTCTCGATGCAAGGAGTCATGCTTCATTTTCTTCGACGTTAGTCATCGGCGTTTTATGACATGAAGGTGAGGCGTAACTTGTTGCGTCAGGTAAATAAGCGTCACCGTGTATGTCGAAGAATTTTATTCGATGCAAGAAATCACTCTCTATTTTCTTCGACAAAGCAGGCTATGTTTCATAATTATATGACATAGCAAGTCGATAAAATCGAAAGTGCACTGGAGACATAACAAAAACTGTAAACACGTGCTCTGTATAGAGAGCTATTTGTATAGGCGCGTTCCCACCCATCCAATTTGTCTCTCTCGAAGGGAAACTTTCAGCATCAAGTTTTTATAGTTGCATCCCAACTCTCTCTCTCCACAACCAAGGGCGTGGCTACCTACCGAATGTAGCTCTGCATATCGGATAGGCCTTCTGTTCACACAAAATTGGTGATTCCGGCTCGATCTCTGTAACGAAGCGAAGCTGCGCTAGGCCACGCCGATCTGGAAAGTGGATCGTCACTTATCGGATAGGTTTCTGCTAGTCCTCGTGACAGTGTGAACCAGTTTCAGGTGTTTAGATAGTGTAGTGCGGTGCAAAGTCAGAGAGTAGGACCCTTTACCTAAAAAGGGTAAGGGGTTGATCTTTGGGGCGTAGCCTTACCGTATAAGACTTTGTTGAGTACCCTCCGGGCTCAAAACCCTCTCGGCCAACCGCTCCGGTACGATGTCCCATCCATGTGTGTGAGCGACTTGTTCCAGTTTCGTTCCTTTGCTGTTCGTACTGCACACGATAACTTTTCATTTCGGCTCGAAAAGCTAGCCGGCATATTGTTAACACAGACCGATTAGAAAAGAAATAAGCGATCACGCGATACCTGATTAAGAACATTTGCCCATGTAAGGATGTACCTACACATCAACTGCTTTCAGGTTTATGTTGAAAAAATGTAGTGTTTTTTCACGATTTTGCCACACGCGAAAGCCACTGCCTGCAGAACATTTTCCCTTCGACCAAGAGAGACGATTACCTCAACACCCTGACAAACAAGATAATTTACTCATCAATCCTCAGGCAAACGATTTGTGAGACAGTAGTCCAGTTAAATGGTGGTTTAACATCAAAATAATTGCAACAGAATTTTCTGTCAACGTCATTACGCCCTAATCAGGGGGACTTTTGAGGCCCTTCCTCACTAAAACTTTGAATACCTTCAAAACCGTTATAGAGTACATTTAATTAATTCAAAATGTCGGATCCAAGATGGTGGATAGTTCCATTTTATAATAAATGACGTCATTATGAAATCGTAGCTATTTCTAAAGATTATAAATGTGTTAGTTAACTTCCTGATTTTATTAGACACATTACTGTTTACTGGCAAAAATCAACGATATAAAAGAAACTTGACGTTTCGATAGCTTTTTGTCATAAAATTATCAAAAGATAATTAACAATTAATGAATGAGGCTGTTCTTCGTATGATACGAAAGCCGCATGTAATAATTGTTTTATTATTCATTCGTATCTTTGAAAGATCTTTATCAATAAGGATCTTTGGCAGACCTTTGAAACCCTGGATGATCATGAAAGGGTCCTATGCGCGGAGTGAGGCTTTAATCAAGTAGTTTAAGGCCTGGGTCTAAGGAGTTTACCTGTGGGAAATGATCTATTGGTTATAAATTCGGCACAGATTATGGCGCTGAATCAAACTTTGGCACACAGAAAGAACTCATCGTCCTTAACATTCTAAAGTACGAATATTGTGTTAATAAGTCACGTTATGTGTCACGTGACCATTTGTTCTAAAAAAATTTTTAAGAAAAGAAATCATGCAATCACATTTTCCCAGTCAAGTCAAATATATCTAACACTTCACGTTTAGAATGAGTGTCAATTGCAATTCAATAAAAAATTATGAGGGGAAACATCATTTTAAATGCCCAAACTTATCCCTGAGGTATTTAAAACTTTAATTTCAAACTTCGTGTACAATCACTCCAAACGTAGAAAGTAAGATATGTTTATCCTCTATCATAAACGCCAATTTATTTATCCTAACAAAGTAAATGCCCGAATTTAATCTTGAATTATTTAAAACTTCAATTTTAAACTTTGCGTACAATCATTCCAAACATAGAAGGTTTACCCTCTATCAGAAAAGCCAATTTATTTATCCAAAATAAATTCGCCACCAAATCGCCAATTTCCTTCATTTTCATTTTTAAGTCACGTGACCATAATTAAACGTCAAGGCACTAGAAGACCTCAAGATTTACTTTTGAAAAAATTTCTTCTGGGTCTCCTAGTGAGAGATATTGCCAATCAATCATATGCTCCGAACACACCTCTGAGCAGAGCCTTAAAACTCCTTGAGTTCATGATCACCAGCCTGGGATTAGCTTGGGCAGGGATCGAATTAAAACTATGATTTTTTAAAATCCTTTTTTTGCGACTAGCGCAACTTTCTTTCGGATTATGACTCCTTTCCTTACAATATGACTGAATAAATACTCTTCTTAGCATTCCGTCTATTTGGTTTTTGTCAGATCGCATATTCTGTGTTTTTATTTCACCTGCCTGGCTCCGTTCGGCGGATTGAAATCCAGAAAACCAAGCGCAAGAACAAAAAAGTGTGACTGTTCTTTTTTTAAGACTTCTTCTTGTAGCGAGTCTAAAATTTAGTTTAGTTTATCTGTGTGTTTAATCACTATTTAGGTTGGCAACCCTACATTTCCTAGTGAGCTAAGTAAGTTTAATCGCTTTGTGGTCTCAAGGCGTTAATAATGTTTTAAAAAAATTGAACTGGGCAATGAAAACATCTGCGCGCGTAGTTGTTTTCAGAAATACGCAGTGCTTCTTGTTGTTGATTATTGCTTCGTTTTCTTACAGTTAATCATGATCAATAGAGAGGAGAAGTCGTTACGTCACGTTGCCATGGTGGGAAAATTTTTGGATGACCACAAACCGAAAACGTCACTTGAAAGTGAATTTGCACAGCTTCAAACCTTATCGATCTAGGTTTAGAAGAGGAAAGACACAACTTTTGTGTTGTGTTTACCTACTCCATAAAGCGATCGTGTGAAATTATGAAGTTTCAGGTCGCAGCAGTTCAACGACGGGAAAGAAATGAACAAAATAGCGTGATGCACGTGGAAATTTGCTGTTTTGTCAACAAAAACCTTTTACTTTTTTGCCGTTCTCCTTCCGTCGCCGTCGTCTTTGGTTCTGTTGTCATCCAGAAATAGTGCTACCATGGTGATGTGCATGACGTCATTCTTCTCCTTTCGATTTCATTGGAAATAATGATATGACTGCAGTGGCGGATCCAGACCTTGAGGTAAGGGGGGAGGGGGGGGGGGGGGGTGTTTAAAAAAGATTGCCAAAGCGACGTATCAGTTTGCCTCAGCCATGTGGGCCTCGGCTTTCGTCCAAAACTAGGGGGGCGGCCCCCCTTCTCTGCAACCGCCACTGCTCTGTAAGCACATGTGCCCCACAATGGCTTGTCTGGTCATTTTTTTGTTGCTGTGTTGTTCCTGTGTCCTGTTTTGTTACCGTTTTGTTTGACTCCTGTGTGGCAGTGTAATCATGCAGAGGAAAGTCATACATGTCAATTTTTTTTGTTACTCTTGCCATATTTGCAGGAACACAGTTGTGTTGAGAACCAGAAATTTTGCTACCATGGCAACGTGACACAACGGCTTACCCTCTCTATTGCCGTTCAGTTCAATCAATAATCATTGCTGGGTGATTTTAGATACAAATGCACTCGCAGCTGATTAATTTGTCAAATATTCTTACCAACAGAAAATGGCTACCATGACCTTGTGTAATAGCTGAAGTGCCCAGAACCTTAAATTAACTTCAAAGAAACATTTAGTACTCTTCGGAAATCTTAACAAAAGGTCTACTTGAGGGTGGCGGTGGGAGGGGGTGGCACATAAAATGTCCTGAATAGACAGGCCACCTGTGTATCTTCCACTCAATTAGTTTACACGATGTTTTTTGTTTGTTTTTGTTCCAATGATTTGAAAAATTTCTATCTTGAGCCACCAGATTTTCCTAACTACGTGGTGTGTAAATTCACTGCTCGTTACACCTGCGGGAATACAGAAATGGATTCGATATCGAAAACGATTCAATTTCGAAGGAATCAATTCATTGATAGAATGGGCGTGCGCCTGACTTGTTTTACGTTAACTGATACAAAAAACAGGCAGAATTGGCATTTTAAGCAATTGCCTTTTCTGTCCTCCTTTATAAAATAAATAACACTATAAGATGTCCATGTCAATTTTTTAAAACTGCTTCATTGTTGTTGTAGTTGTTTTTATTCATTGCCCTTCTTTTTTATTTATCGTCTTTGGAAACTCCCATTCGTAATTTTTTGAAAATGTACTAATTTGCATAGAGCCTTGTATCCTCGCACCTCGCCAAAGATGGCTGTATTCGCAGGGTAATCATAAATGATATTAAGTTGACCGTTAAACGATCCAGCAGTATTTGCAGTAAAGGCGAACTGACTGCTAGATTAAAACTACCATGAATTTTAAAACATCTCTGTTTCTCCTCCTTGTGCAAATTGCAATTGCTGTCACAATGACGCCATCAGTTTCTGCATTTTTTTTTAGTACCAGTTTGTTTAATATGTGGGACGTCCAGGTGCCGCTTGTTAATTGATGTTCAGAACTATATTTTTTTGGACTGAAAGTTATTAATCAATATATCTTTATTCTTGCTGTTAAAGATAAAATTATCTACCGATGCTCATAGTTGGCCTCAGCAACTTATCAATCGAAACATATTTTAGAACAGTTTGGAAATAATCCATACTTTCGACCTGTGTTTGAATTTCCTTTACTTGGACAGACACCTCAGTTACGAAATTTAATTAAATCATTAAATTTTAACTATATAGTAAATGAGGGCTAAACATTAAGCATCCTCTTTCCTATGCTTCTTCTACGCTGGCTGGTAACTTAATTTAAAATGCGTGTTTGTAATAACCGCTGGGTAATTAACATTTCGCAATTTTTGAACTTTTTGATATGCGACGATTATGAAAGCCTTTTATCAGAATGTCCTGTTCAGCGTCGCAGTTCTGCGGTAGAGAAAAGCTGCACTTCTTTTCAACAGCAAAGTATTTATATTCACCATTCAACAAGAGACAAATTTTGTGAATTCCGATGTCCACAACCTGCCTAGGCGTTTTCAGCATTGTTCACCAAAACGGCAACGAGATATTAATTTTTCCTATCCTCTACATTGGCAGGACAAGTCAATCACTGAAAGGACACGCGTCAATCGAGCTCAAAATATTAATTAACTTGCTGTATACAAAATTATATATATATTTATGAACCGTCCAAATTTTACCGGAGAACGTCCTTTACACAGACACACTCTGTTCACGAAAACAGCGCTGTAGTATTGTAGAGATAAGTATCATGATTTCCTCACTCATTTTCTGCTTCATTGTTGGCGCAGTTTTAGCAGCCGAAGAAGACTCTAGATCTGCCTACACCAAAACTCAAGAGAACAAGCGTTTACATGGCTATGTTGTCAAGAAAATCGATTCTACGGATGAAATGTCGTGCAGTCAAGCATGTTTAAGACATTCTTGGTGTACCTCCTCTAACTTCAAAGAGTCCTCGGGCAACTGTGAACTGAACAAGCACGAGTTCTCTACAACTGATGATAACACCAAGCTCACTGATAATCCAGGCACAACGTTTTCAAAGTTTCTTAAGGTAAGAAAAGTTCTGAATTTTCATTGCTTAAACAACAAGGGCGTGCATGTGCAGACGAGCATAATTTCCGCGTACAAGAAGAATTTAATAGACTCCTGCACCAAGGCTAAGGCAACAACTGTTCAAGCAAAGCTTAGTTAAAAAATATAAATTTGGTAAAACAGTAAAGTAGAGTTGTCGTAAAAGAGCAGTAGCTAGCACTCGCATTTTAGTCTTATTTTTCGTATGGGAGCGAGCCATGTTTTCCTTTCCCAAATTTTTCAGTTCCTCTACATCATTATCGAAGGCGATGTTTTCTTCTCTTACAAGAGGCTTACATGTTTTGAAAATAAAGTTAAGAGAAGTATAGAGTGCAAAAAACTATAAATCTTTAAAAAAAGGAGGAACGCAGAGCCGGCAATTTATCAGTGGAATTTATATGTTCAACATTAGATTTGCGTTGTGCCGTGAAAAACGTTGAGGGATCAGTCTCGCTACCTGCAAGAATCTGTAGCTAGTACGTCGCCCTTCCCTGCTCGAGAAAGAGTGGCTAAAACATTGCCTTTCTGGTAATAAAGCTGTAGAAGTCGATGGAAAACGATGTATATCATCTTAGCTTACCGAAGTAACATATGAACTCCTCAGGGCTGCCTAATGGCTGGATGCCTTAACGGAGGTTCTTGTTTGTTCGACGAAGGGAAAGATGCGTTTGCTTGTTCATGCAGTCCACAATGGAGAGGAGAAAAATGCGAAATGGGTAGGTCCAAACTGTTTTTGTTCCTTAACTACGATAGACAATTAGGAGAAGAGTGAAAGACGTACCCGGCTGAAAAAGAAATCACACAACTTTCTATACTTTATATGTGGCAATTTTTTGTTAGAAGCACTGAGGAAAGAGTTATAATCTGCTGGCATGTTTTCTCTAGCAATGTAGTTCATATAGTCCTCACGGATTAATTTACATCCCGTGTAATATAAGAAAACTGGTATGTACTGTATGAAACTTTGGCGTTTACCGTTAGCTTTGAATGTGGAAAAGACATTAGATCTGGCCAAATTTTACGTGACGCTCAAATTAAGGTAAGTCTTATACTTAACACCTGGATTAACCCAACATGACGGCCGTTTTTAAAGTTAAGAATTTGCATGCATAGATAATTATTTGCTTAAGGCTTTTTCGGCGAAAAACTGGTCGATCGTCTGAGGAAATAGAGTCTAAATAGAAGTATAAGTTGTTTGGTCGTAAAGGAAACAAAGTTGTAATGCGCAAACTTGGCACAACTGTATTTGTGCTCTTATTCTCTGTCGCTGTCGCAGTTTCAACCCATCTTTGCGTCGTTTATCGCCATTTCCGCTGCCCTATGTCGTTGTTTCAAGGCCATGTCGCTTCAGTGTCGAAATTTAACCTACCAGGGCCTCAAGAAACTGGCCAAAACAAGTGCATATATATACGTAATCAACGGAGACGCACCTATAATAAGGGTGAAACTATACTTAACACCACTGTTGTATGGGCCTGATGAGTAGTGTAGGAGGGATGTTTTACGCCTCTTTTTCGCGCAGGAATCTCATTAGCGTGCGCAGGAATACATTAACGCAGATGACGTCATGCATCTCATTAAGATAGGAGGATGATGTCATGGTTTAAATTAAAGCTAATGACGTCATGCATTCCGGTAAGATAGGATGATGTCATAGTTTATTTTTAGCTGACCACCACCACCACGCCACATTTCTATTGTTTTCCCACCACCACCACCGCCACATTTCTATTGTTTTCCCACCACCACCACCACCACCACCACCGCCACATTTCTATTGTTTTCCTCCACCACCACCACCACCACCGCCACATTTCTATTGCTTTCCCTCCACCACCACCACCACCACCGCCACATTTCTATTGTTTTCGCTCCACCACCACCACCACCACTGCCACATTTCTATTGTTTTCCCTCCACCACCACCACCACCACCACTGCCACATTTCTATTGTTTTCCCTCCACCACCAGCACCACCACCACCGCCACATTTCTATTGTTTTCCCACCACCACCACCACCACCACCACCGCCACATTTCTATTGTTTTCCCTCCATCTCCACCACCACCACTGCCACATTTCTATTGTTTTCCCTCCTCCTCCTCCTCATTTTTATTGTTTCTCCTCCTCCTCCTCCTCCTCATTTTTATTGTGTCTCCTCCTCCTCCTCCTCCAATGTGGCGGTGGTGATGGTGGTGGTGTGGAGGGAAAATAATAGAAATGTGGCGGTGGTGGTCGTCGTGGTCAGTTAAAAATAAACTATGACATCATCCTATCTTAATGTATTTAATGTATTCCTGCGCAAAAAAGAGGCGTAAAACATCCCTCCTACACTACTCTGATGGGTTTAAAGTCTGAAAATAAATAAAGAGAGTGTGAAAATAAGACGACCCCATTAATGTTTTGTATGCGCCTAATAAGCCTGCATTGCCAGAGAAACTGCGTATGGCATAGTCTGAAATGTCACACGTCTCCATCCCCTAACCCGCGGGGGGCGCGTCTCTTTTCCCCGCGCCCTTCACGGGTTAAAAGGTGGAGACGAATGACATTTCAGACTACGTATGGACATTTACGTTCATCCAGGGATTAATAAAGTAGGTATACAGAGAAAAAACATTTCCGTTTTGTGGGTCGGAAGGGAAGGACATAACGAGCAAACCATCAATTTTTCCATGAAGTGGTGTGTCGTCTGGCTTAGCCACTTCCCTTATTGTCGCACGCAGTCAGAGAAAAGGGTAATCATCAAAATGATCTTCTACGAAAGATATCCGACAGACTGTTGAAGGATTCATTGAGTAAAAAGTATGTTGTTTTAAATAAATCAATGCATTCTATTTACTATTTTGCAGACATCAACGAGTGTGAGACAGGAAAGCATCACTGCGACTCCAGTGCTTTCTGTAACAACACTAAAGGCTCTTACAATTGTACATGCATACCAGGATATATCGGAAACGGCGTTAACTGTACAGGTAAAATACGCAATCGAAAATCCCCCGCCGATAGCACTAAATAACCTGATTTGAAAGCACTTCTATTCAACAAATTTTTTCGAGTTTAATTATGGTGTATGTTACATCTTTAGGGGTTCTTTATAATCGCTTCCAACATGATAGCATGTGATAGGCCGCTTGTTTATCGTAGGCATGCAAACAGATGCAAAAAGGCTCACTGGTGCGAGTTTGGGGTTATATATTAAAGCGGTGGTGCCGTCAGCGGGAGCTGGCGAATCCCGCTATAAGAATAAGGCGATTAAACGTTAAAAAAGTATGTGCATATTCGGCAGCAATCATAAGCTGGTTTTGTCACGGCCTTTTCCCCTTTTTTTCTATGACTATATTTTGCTACATTTTGTCATTTTTGTTAACATTTTGCTTTGTTCCTATTGGATAGCGTCTTGACACCTCTGTCTGCAGGCTCGCTTTTCTCCGTCCCTTTCTTCTAACCAGCTAGACTGGTGGGTCCACCGCCAAAACAACCCCAAACTCGCACAAGTAACCAGCTCGCAGACTAGTTTATCGTTTCTATCTCGCGATAGTCGTTACTTCGTTAAACTACTACCTATCGACAACACAGCTGCAGATTAGTACCACTGCGGGCCATATATATGGTTTGTGGAAACCATGAATGAGGCTCGTTTAATTGCTAATCACTAGCAACTAAGGGGGAACTGTAGCCCACCCTCACTAGTACTCGACACAATCGCCCAATGAAGACCAGAAGTACGCAGTTTGAAACGCCGTGAATGAATAAACGTTAAAAAATATGTGTATATTCGGTAACAATCATTAGCTGGATTCGCGGTTTTTGTTACGGCTCTTTTCCTTTTTTTCCATGACTATATTTTGTAAAAATTTAGTAAAAATTTCCTCGTGCAACTTTCTGTCATTTTTGTTAACATTTTGCTTTGTTCTTATTGGATAAGATCTTGACATCTCTTAAGGGGCGAAATTAAAAAAAAAAATAGTCGGTCTGCAGGCTCGCTTTTCTCCGCCCCATTCTTCTTGCCAGCTAGCGCTGGTGGCTCCACCGCCAAAACAACCCCAAACTCTGACAAGTGAGCCAGCTCACAGAATATTTAACAATTATTCCTCGAGCCCGATGGGCTCTGGGTCAATAGCCCATGAGGCCGAAAGCCGAATGGGCTATTGACTCAGAGGCCATGATGGCGAGAGGATAATTGTTTTAGTAAAACCCAACTAATTGGTAGAAAATATCGAGAAAAAACAACTAGTTAAAGCTAGACTTTAACTGAATCCTTTTTTCCTGCCAAAAAGCCAGTCCTCTTCGCTTCTAGTGGGCTATAACATATAGCCTAGTAGTAGCTCAACCAATCAGAACGCGGCATTGATTATAGACCACCAGTTGGATTTTACTAATGATAGATTTAGCCAGGGCTAAAAGCGAATCTCTCGACAATAGTTTACTCAAACAAAATATAAAATCGTGTAATGCGGCGAAGGAGACAAGAAAGGTGAAAAACAACTGTTACAGTAGGTCTAATTAGCAAGCAACTTTGCACGTGCAGCACACTTTTTCGTACATTTCTTTGCCGTTGTTTTGCACGACTACAACGTGAAACTTTCAGAAACTTCCTGCTTCCAACTAGTTTCACGTTTTATAGAAGAAATGTCGCACGTGTGTACTGTCGCAATTTGTAATAATCATCACACTTTGTAATACCTGTCGCAATTTGTAATAAAACCATCGCACTTTGTAATACCTGTCGCAATTTGTAATAAACCGTGTCGCAATTTGTAATAAAAAAGCTGTCGCAATTTGTAATAACAGTCCATCGCACTTTGTAATAAACTAAGCTGTCGCAATTTGTAATAATTCCATCGCACTTTGTAATAATTTTTTGAGAGTTATTCAACTTACTTCGTGAACATTAATATAATGCCAAAATATGCAGGGTACTTCATAAACAAAGATGATGGCGTCTGCTAGCATGTAACATGTTCGTAACATATTCTTTGGTCAAACACGCATGTCTTCTGCTATAAATTTTTCTGCCTTGATTAATCACGTGACTAACTAGAAACGCTTTTATGAGAGACATGAAACTTCCTGTGACATATCACCAAAAAGATATGAATCACGTTTAAATTCAAAAATATTTAAATAAGAAAGGCAACAGTAAACAACAGAAAATTCATGAATAACCTGGCATTCGTCGTCCAAATCCATGTTTGCTTGCCACGTGACACGTAAAGTCTTCGGCGGGGGGTGGGGAGGGGGAGATAATCCCATATATGGATGGGCTAGATAGGTAAGTACCGCCTGATAGGGTATGGTTTTTGAGGATCTCGAGCCTTTAATAGGGTATCATTTTTTACGTTGTTGGCCTTGTGTCTTTGGTTTGATCCTTAGATAGGGTAACTCAAGTAGTAATGGATGGTTTATTCCATCCTTTCCATTTTGTAGAAAAACAGTAATCCAGAACACGCTCGGAAGAATTGCAAGGTCTTACGAGTTGTATATACGCAGGGAAGGATAATTTTTTACCATCCCCATGGTATTTGCTTTAGAGGACTCCTTACAGAAAACAATTGTTTTAAGATGGAATGATTACTCCTTTTGTTCCTGTATGGGACCAAATCAAGTGAGAATAATGGACCAAATGCCCAGCCGGCTCAGTGTAAGACCCCAAGTGAGTGTTATAAAAACAGGTACATACGAAGGTATCGGCCAGCGACTAATTGGATTTTGTGTTTAGGTGTCTGTTGTGGTTCGAAGGTTTGCCACTAGTGACGTTTTGTTTTATTTGCAGTAAATATTTTGAATCTTTCCAGGCCTCGTTTGATTAAGTTGGCCAAAATATGGAAGCCACTATTACTTCTTTAAGATTGCTCGTTAGACAAGAACGGTGTACCACGTGATGTGTCAACCTGTTATAAGATCTAACAAGGAAAGCTTGAACTCTCCTGGTGTCCTTATTTGAATGATGTAGGATGGATATTACGATTAGCGGAAATTAAATGCTTTTTAATAATGGCTTGTTTGTGTCTAGTGTGTCTAGCTCTGTTTAGATCCTCTACTCTGGCAATGCTCTGTCCAGAGGCACATCCCCGTATTGGCCATATAAGGAAGTACACCCGCCAGGTAACCATTGAATGCAAGCCACCTAGTACAATAGCAAGGTTCAAGAATACAGCATTTCGTAAGTCAGATAACTAATCAACATTAATCTAAAAAATTGTTTAGGACTTCGAATAAAGTTAAATGTTTGCATGAGCGGAGATGTTACGTGCTAGCAGACGTCATCTCCATCTTTGTTTATGAAGTACCATGCATATTTTGGCGTTATATTAATGTTGACGAAGTAAGTTTAATTACTCTCAAAAAGTTATTACAAAGTGCGATGGAGTTATTACAAATTGCGACAGCTTAGTTTATTACAAAGTGCGATGGACAGTTGTTACAAATTGCGACAGCTTTTTTATTACAAAGTGCGACACGGTTTATTACAAATTGCGACAGGTATTATAAAGTGCGATGGATTTATTACAAATCGCGACAGGTATTACAAAGTGCGATGATTATTACAAATTGCGACAGTACACACGTGTCCTTGCTCACTTTTTTTTCACTGGCGCACAGGGCGCTCATTTTCACCTTACATTTGGTGGCCGCTAGCATTTCTTATTTTCTCACCGCCGCTACAAAATTTTCATGTTGTTCTTTTAACAAAATAAGTGTCTCTTTTGTCTTTTATCTCCCTCCCCCACGTCTCTCTCTCTCTCTCTTTCTCCCTCTCCCTCTCCCCCTCTCTCTCTCTCTCTCGTTTGTCGAGTTTCACTGCGTTTTTTCTGTCCCATCACATGAAATTTTCCCCGGCATTTTTTCTGGGAATAGACGATTTTCTTTACCATTTTTAGATCTTGATGAGTGCGTACAAGGATCACATGATTGCCTGCATCTCATTGATAATTAGCCTCCCCGCAGACGTCCTTTGGGGGTTCGTTCGGACGTCTGCTAAACACAGCCGACATGTACGTTCTTGTTTGTTTGAATAAGCCAATAAGCGGTTAGTTATTGTCACTATCAGCCAATAACAAGCTGTGATATAAGTGAAACGGCACCTACGAATTATTTCTCTCTTTTTTAGAGGAATATTTATTATGAGACTCCGAAGAAAGTTATAAGAAGCGAATTGTTTTGTCTTCTTTGCAGCTGTAATTTAGGAAAGGACCAAGTTCGTGTGTTTAGAAAAAGCGCAGTCGAAATCGCAAGGCTCATCAAACGTGCTCTGTTGATGTGTCTTTGTGTTCTTCAAGTGAGTTATTCATTTGCACAGCTATCTTCTACCTGAGACGACTCAAACGTTTCGAAAAAATCACAGAAATGATGCAATAAAGCTGTAGTCAGCTGTATAGTTTTTTCTGAAGTTGTTGTAAGTATAAAATAATCTGCTTTTCTTTGAAAGACTTCAGACAACAGTCTCCCAAACGAGCGCGGAGTGGTTTTCAGCGCGGTCGAAAACGATTACTATTAACTCTGTATATATTCGAAGTATTAAGAAAAGAGAACTTGTAAACGTGCATAGGGAAGATTTTCAAAGCATTCTTCGAAAACAAAGGCCGTTTCCCTTTTACGAAATGTAATTCCACCAAGGTCATGGGTCGCGGACCAAGGACCACTACGCGAAATTTGGTTATATTTTTTCCAAGAGCCGGTTAAAACAAAAAATTCGAATTCTACAGCAATGTGCTTCCAACGGCAGAAAAAGGTTTATCTGAAAACTTCATCTGCAAAAAGGCACGTCTTCCCGTTGCGTTTTATTTATTCACAAGCTAAGTAAACATGACCACGGTGCCGCCGAAGTCCAAAACTTCAAGCTAGAACGACAAATTAACCTACCCGTCAACAAACTTTAATCTCGCTCCTTCAAAGAAAGAAAGAATGCTTATAATCAATAAATCATTGAACCTTTCATTGTTCAACGTATTTTATTTCTCGACGAAATATTTAATCATGCTCGGAAAAGTCGCGGACCAAGGACCACATACTAACTGTACAAGTCACTCGCCAACATTTCCTCTACCGATCGATCTTCAACCAAGCTTCTGGGCTTCCATAAACAACAGAGAAAGCCCCTCTCTCGACAACGCTCATATTCTCTTCGCTAATATCACTGAGCGCAACAGCAGGAATACCAATATTTTCCAGCTTTGTAGCCTTGATCTTTCATAAGATTTACCAGGGGAGCAGGGATGGCGGAGTGGTGAGAGCACTCGCCTTCCACCAATGTGGCCCGGGTTCGATTCCCGGACTCGACGTCATATGTGGGTTGAGTTTGTTGTTGGTTCTCTTCTCTGCCCCGAGAGGTTTTTCTCCGGGTACTCCGGTTTTCCCCTCTCCGCAAAAACCAACATTTCTAAATTCCAATTCGATCCGGAATGCTCGAGCGTTTAATACATGAGCCCCGGGCTCGGGAGATTGGGCAACCACTCCTCACGCTATCGAGCTTAAATAAAATTAATTTAATTTTAATTTTAATAAAACAACAACAACAACATGTCCAGTAGTTCCACGCACTGTGTC